ATCTTATTTGGATAGCAGTTTTTCGCAATGCATTTCAGTAGCTAGACAACTGGTCGGTCATTTCAGCACAACACTCAAATATTCACCAGCCGATACCCGCGGTTTTTATCACATACAACAGGCATATTGCAACGAACACTTATTTATGTTTTATCCGATGCACAATGTTGACTGGTTCAATGAATTGTGGGTCAGAAATACCAAATATTGATGAAATAGTATCATGATCTACTATTGAAAATCGCCACAGAAAAAATGTCTTTCAGCCAGTTTAATAATCAGCCTCTCCGGAATGTGACCCCTTGGCTTTTGAACAGCTTCTAATAAAACGAGGACTACTTTGAATCTTGGCATCATTTTAGTGAACCCTTTGTATATTTTCTATAAGCTCAGTTGAATTTCTAAGTAGTTGCCTATCATTTTGCTATGAAAGTTTCTTGTCACTCCTTTTGACTTTACTCCACTGAATTGTGTGAACCGAGATGATATTGTACCCGTTTTGAAACAAAAACTCATTTCGACTTGACTTTGAATGGACGATTGCAGTATAACATTTGATGAGTTTGGAGGCGTCTAAAGATAATTGGTTGGAAATATTGCACAGAATGAATAAGTAAGCAGTAGGTTGCTGATGGTTGCTTTTAGATTATGATCTGGTTAATAGGAAGGCGTTTGAAGTCTAATAAGCAGGTCAATGAAAAACTGGACTGCGAATTTCTATGGTAGATAATGGACAATGAGATGACTATCGGAAATTTTCAGGTTTTGAACTGTTGATGATTCTTTGTTAGGTGGTTTACATCCTATGCATACAATCGGTTGGTTGACATGATAAATGAAGTACGAATGATCGTCAACCTTCTAGATTAACAGTGGTGTAAAAACAGACACTGGTGCGACCTGTTGTGCCCACAAAATAAATGCCAGAAGTCTTGTCTGATAATCAGGCAGGTTATTTTGTGGAATGCAGCCACAAAACTGATCTAATAAAAACTTCAACAGCTCGATGACGAACGTCAGGAGGGAGAGCCTATCAATCGAAAACCAATATTTATGTGCGCGAATTATGAGAGCGATTCCAGGTACTTCTCATACATTCCTTGGAAAAGAACAGCGCAGTTACATTAGCAGACGCATTTCAAAATAACTTTCGCTGAGAATATTCCCGAAGGAAATCAATCCCCCAAAATAGGAATTTTGGGGGGATTGATTTCGGCCTACTTTTCTCAACCTGATTCATTGATTCATTTTTGTTTGTCATGGGTGTGTATTCTCTTACTTAGAGTGACATACGCTACAGAAACGTTGATGATTTTATACGTATAGGAACGTTTGTAAAAGCCAAAAAGACATTGGGACAACGTTGAGAGGCCTTTACCGAGTCAATTAATCAACAAACATTAAACACACTATGGAAGAAACCCTGCAAAATGATCGAGGATTTCATCGATCTAGGGAAAGGTGACAGTAAATGAGATCGTGAAGAGTTTTGAACAAACCAGAGGTCAAACCGCTAAGGGTGACGTTACAGATCATGGGAGGCCAGAGTTTGTCAGTAGTTTTGTGATGTAGATTCAATGCGGTGTCCATATGTTTGGGTCCTAATTTATGTTTGACTGATTAGGTGAGTCGCATCAAGCAGATGAACTGATCATTGAGCCTATCCTGTCGATTTACAATGACATAAAAAGTGAAATAGTTACAAAGCTCGGGATGGATGATAAAGGACAAACGTAAAACGAAAACTCGAAAAAGGCTTTCGCCGTAAATAAAGCTAAAAACAAAAAAATGGGATGTTTACACATAAAACTGGATGCACTTGCATCCAAGAAGGAAATATAGTTTCACGTTTGTATTTCCATCATCGAATTTTTCTGATCGCGTTCCAACCATACATAAAAATCTCATCTTGAGCAAAAGAACTATTTAAAATTAGAGTATTCCGGACCTGGAATCAAATCGACGTAGTGTGTGATCTTGAATGACATTGACAAAAAAAGTAGAAGCTGATAAAGCCCGCTCCCCCCACTACCGCGTTTGCGTGCTCGGCTTGTAGCTTAACGGTTAATTGTATACTCAAAAAACAAAAGTGTAGTGAATACTGGTACCGATGATGCCAACTAGGCGGTTATGGTGAACATAGTGGAATACGAAACAAATGCCCTTAATCATCTAACAGAGGATCCGTACTGCAAAATTCCTCAAAAATGTGCTCAGTTGTTCAGGACTAGGATCCAAGTTAGGACTTCGGAGTTACTTTGAGCTATTAAACTGAAACTGGTTTTGATTAAATCTCAAAACCAAATCCTCTTCGAGATTTTATGGTTTATCCTAAATCCACTAAATATATATCCTCTTACGATTCATAACTGAATTTTAAAACACTCAAAAAATGCTGTTTCGAAAATATTCTCACATTCTACAAATATATTTAAATGCGATGGAAATCTCTGAAATGACTGATAAAAAGCACTGGACAACTGTTTCGTCCTACTTGGGACTCGTCAGTAGTGCGTACGTGTTGTGTCCCTGTCAAGACTCGAACTGCAAACCTTAGGATTAAGACTTCAACGCCTCACCCCTGAGCCACACGGTGGACGCTAGCTCGAAGAGTAAAATCGACAGCCAAGATCATCAACCGAATGGGCTTACCAACATTTCACCGACTAAATTGTTTATAAATATTTAAAAAACGGAACAAACATTGCCCTCCAACTCGAACCATTTTATCCAATCTCAGCCATTGTAGCAAACATTTTCGAGGACCATCTTGCAGAGAATAACAGGTGAGAAACATCAAAATATGATGAAGCTGACACACTTATGGTGATCAATAACGATCTTTCCACATATATGACCAATCACTTCTACAAAACCAAATCCTGCAATATAAAAGTAAGAAAAACAAGTAAAACGCTTGGAAAGCCAGGGATTTTCAATGTTTCATGTAACTTTACAATCTCCGTATACATAAGTAAAACACATTGGTGGATATTTCTCCCACTCCTGCGATCACGCCATAAATGCAAAGGACAAAAAGGTTTCTAACCATTTGAACACAACAAATCAATTCGCCCAAAACATAAAGGACAACTCAAAATAGCTTCAATTGATCACAACAGACTGGTAACTGATATCCCGGCAACGTTTCTACAGCAAGTTCGGAATGGTCTTCACAATTAACAATATAATCAGGTTTGTTTTGGCCACAACGTGAATACCAAATTTTTCAAATTTTTCGAAATGATCCGGAACACCTATGGATTATTAACTGTTTGGTCTTCACAATTCAGCAAAAAAACAAATTTGAACGAACCGCTTGGCTCGAAACTATTGTTATAGTTTACGGCAGCTATACAGCAACAAATATTGAACAGTTTCTGTACGCCAGTCGCAATTCCGGTAAACAGGACCCTTTGCTCACTTTTGATGCAATAAAAGGACAAACGACTAAAGACAAATCAATCAGATCTCATCTACAAAATAATGTCTAAGCAATGGCTAGCCATGTAGGTTAGAATAGCAAGTCCATAATTAAAGAAACAGTAACTGAATATCACAAAAGTACATCTCAGTGCTGAACCGTTGAGAGGGACACACTTGAAAATCAATTATTTCAAAACACCGTTTCAGGTTATATAGAGAACGAATAATTTCTCAGTCATCGATCCACATGGAGTCCGTGGAAAGGACAGAGCTTAGCTATCAGTTCGTCGGCTTGTTGAAACTCACNCCCTAACAAACCGACACAGTGTGAAATCTTGCCATACCACAAAACTCCTCACTGACTCTAACCTACCGTCATCTATTGTGTCATCCTAAGCTCTCCTCCTCCTCCTTTTCATCCTCGACGTGCGTTGATCTCATGGAAGACCATGGCCAGCACCACACACGACACTGCCATCCCCCCGCCACCCCTAATGACCCTACCCAGTGCGCCTGTATGAGGACCTAAGTGTGAGCAACATCCGGTCATGGAACTGTTGATTATCTCTTTTCAACTTGTTTTGATTTATCCTCTTCTAAACAGTTTGATATAAATTGAGATGTATTAGCCTGCAGAAGAATCACCGCAAACGAGCTTGTTCGCTAATTTATGTTTTCTCTTAGACCTTTTCATACACGACGTGCGTTTATCTCATTTACGACACACGTTTTTTCCTCTCCCTACAAAAATAAAACTGGCGGTCTTTTGATGGGGGTTCTTGCACAGTTTACTAATGTTTACTGGTTAACTGACTTGAAAATCCTGCCGAGATGATCTACGCATCCTCACAAAATTGCTATTTGTCATATTCTCTCATCGTTGCTTATCTAAGCAGTCCTATAAGTCTGTTATGCTATGAGCCCGACGCACAATTCCTGCAGCGACAACCGTTCCAAATTTGGATCTGATCCTCCACGAAATTGGTGAAATTCGTTTCATGCTACTCCTTTTTCTCCTTTTCTTTCTTGGACAAAACCGCACTCGATTGAACATTATTTAGAGATTTAACTTCGGTATCTTTGCACCTGATTTGTAATTCACGAAGCTGTTTTCGAAACATTTCTGACTTCTATCACTGACATACATTTACCTTAGCAATTTGCCATGAGCAGATAACAGAACAAAGAGAAAATGTGTCTTGGAAAGTTTACTCAACACGTTTATCCTTAAGCCATGTAGTAATAAATCACTCAAACGAGATGTTGCAACGCTTTAGTAGTTTTAGTGCAATTTTATTCAGATAATTTACCAAGAATCCATGGCAGTAATTCTACAAGCACGGCTTCTGATCGCGGATAGGAGTAAATTGGTTTTCAGTGTTTCATCTAATAAATATTGACGGATGATTTATCTATTCAGTCGTAGAATGTACATGACTATGCAAAGATCGGTGAACCACTTTCAAGAAAAGAGTTGTGATGTAGAAGTTAAATTCAATATACTACTCCGCTTCCTTATTGGCCTCATTCTGACCCTATCCTTCTCTTCTTTGCCCTGTCTCTTTGGCTTTCAGTGTTCGGTTTGATGAGCATCGGTCATGTGGCTGTGAAGTTTGTTGAAGATAAACCCACGACAAGCAACGAATTCTGTCTTCATTTGAAATCCATTCTGGAAATGGCATTCTTTGTTCTTCAGACACTGTTCATACTTCGGTACCATCGCGTAAGTTGTCATGAATGCGACGAAAATGACGGCGACAATGACTTGTTACGTTCATGTTCTTGTGTGTTTTTGGTGAACTTTTACGTTAATTCTGTTCATGTTCGTATGAAATATTGACATGCTCATATTTCAGTCAGAGCAATCACCTCAAGTGAGTTCAAATTTCAAAATGTTTTTAAAGGAACTAAACAAAGCATTTTAGCAATTGATGCATTTTAGACTTGATAGATGTGCAAAGTATTTGAAGAGTGAACTTGTTATAGACGTTGGTATTGTAGACATTGAGAGTGGTAAAGTTCCTAATATACATAGAGATAGGTGGGCAAACAGGCAGACAGATAGACAGACAGACAGACAGACAGACAGACAAACAGACAAACGGTTCTGCGGACATCATTACACAAAGGATGAGGTAACACAGGACTATTTGAAGTGTAAATGACACTTGGATAGATTAAACTTTCAAAGATTTCTGATTTTTGAAAAATTTCTTTGCGTAATTCATCCTCTACGAACTGGAGTGGTTCACTCAATTTTATCTATGGTGCATCAAGGGGCATAACACATAGATAGCTGATAACAAATAACCAAGGCGGAAAATTATGAAACGTATCAGGATTACTGCTTCACTGATGAAATAATAATAAGGAATGAAATGTAGCAACAACGTGGAAAAACAGGAAATGCTTATTTATCTCGTCTGTCACTGAATTGTGTCTGGTTTTACATTAATAGCGATTGCCGTTCGTTTCAATCGTACATGTGCTTGCTTGAAACTAAACATCTTTCACAAGATACAGCTGTTTTTTGTACGTCTGACCTGTTTTTAGTGTTTATTACGTATATTCTTATGTGAATTTGTACCATTTCAGGAGCTGTTCTAGTTTATGGTAAACACTACACTCACCATGCGCTCTTCCTCTCTGCATTTACTGCACTCCCATGCAAATGATATGAAACAGCTTTAACTTTGTTAAAACGGCTTTTTTTACTGTATCTTAATAGTGGCTGTTCCCATTGTACATTCATCGTCCAAGCATCCGCTGCATGGAGAACACTAGTTGGGTTGAGGTAGTCATTTTGAAACCCATGCATATAGGGTTAATAGTTGGAGGAAAGTCCTTTGATCATGATAAGCTGTTCGCGTCCAGTACACGATTCAATAGGTCAATCCCCTGTGACCAGTTGACCTCATTCTGAATTCCTTGTTGGGAACATTTGAAAGACGATCAATGATATGACAATAAAAATCGAAAGTTTGACTCAATGATGAGTACACCTACATGAAGATACGTTTGAGTAAACACAAGGGTTTAATTTAATCGCTAAGCAACCTGATTCCGTTTGAGTACTAAGTAAAAATATCAGCAAGAATAAAACCCCGGGATGATAAATCCATGTTCCACATTGTATGGGTATATTATTTTATTTTTTGTTTTTCATTGTTTGCCCATCCTCTTATTTGTAACTGTTATCTTTGCACGATATTCAAACATTTACAAGGTTTCGTTTGCTTTACTTCCCATTATGAGGTTAGTTAAATTGCATTCACGACAGTAGTTAGATGACGAAGAAATCATTATCTCGTGAAAATTTCCCTTTATGTATAACTGAAGTCACCTTATTACTAATGAATTGTCATAGCGACCGGAAACTATCCGCGTTTGAAGAAAAGACATACGAATATTATTTCTTCCCCGAAGTAGCTAATAAACGCAAGCTGTGAACCATTGTTAAATCAGAATTAGGCTGTGGCTTAGAAGTGCGTAAAAAAAACGAGTGGTTGCAAGATTTACAATAGAATTCACCTGGAACGATATCTATATGACAAATGTATAAACAAATTACAGTTCTTCCTGTATGATATATGCCTAGAAACTCAAATTTGAACCTCATGAGCGCAGTCGATGGTAATCACTGGTTTTTTTAAGTTATGCGTTTGCGCTACAATTTCACACAAGTGTTCCAAAAAGCCGAACCATTAATCAATTATCATAAAACTGGAGGATATGTGTAGTGATTGAAAAAGGGGCTTCTGCAATTCCCTGTCTAAGTTTCGAAGTATAAAATGACTATTCAAATGCTCGAGTTTTGTGCTCTCATGAAATAAATGATTACGTCCTAACTTACCGTTGTATACACTTGAAGCTCAGAACGGACATTAATTACCAGTGATCGATGGGAAGAATGCAAGGTATTTAGGAACATTCCTAGACATAAACTGTGGTTTACTTTGTAGTTGTTTATTAAATGAATTGTACCAGTTGTGGGTGTTGCTTATTGGATAATATCTGATTCACAATCCATGTGGTTCATTATTTTGCTTCCGACCTATGGTGAATAAAATGGGTTAGGTTGTACACCTTGTTCTAGTAGCCGAAACAGCCAGCTATAATGAAATTTCTAGAAGTAGTTGATTCTCTAATATAGCGTTTGAAAGGTAATGAAAACCTATTCTTTCTTTCATGCATGTTTGTACGTCTCGGTGTAAAATTTATAATTTAACATTGCATTAGGTATGTTTCTAAACATGAATTATTGCGTTTGCCATTGCCTTTTCCGCTTAATATTATACTGTTCTTCTCAGATCTTGGAAAATGTTAAAAAAGAGAATCTGTAAATCAAGACATGATTCTGTGTAGATTTTTGTGTGTATACTTCCGTTTTAATGTTACAGCGTGGTTCAGAGATCATATCCACCATTCCTTATCCATCGATAGTAAACCGTTGCAACACTTCTTAATCAGTTAGGATTGTAAACAAGAAAAACTCTTCGGATAACGAATTAAGTTCTGATTTTTA